TGGGGGGTGGGGGGGACTCGATAATATGGGTGAATGTAGTAACCATGTTGTTTTTCATGTTAAACCTTCATAAGAGTGTATATAATAATACCTTATTAAAAAAATCTATGAATGCTGATATTAGCACAATTAACTATAAATAAATGTGTATATGTGCTTATATATGCATAAACTTTTGTAACCCAGAAACAAAAAAATTAAAAATCCTGGGGACAAAAACAGGACAAAGTAATTATGAGATAAATTACTAAAATTCAAGAATTAAGCAGGCTTATCAAGCCGATCTCAGTGGAAGGGAAGTCCCACGGGAACGGTGGATTGCATAGGGCAGGCATACGCTGCCAGGCCCGGCTGCTGCTTGCTGATGCCGTGGGCACCCAGCCCCGGCCAGCTGGGGCAGTGATCTGGGTCCAGCAGCTTCCTTCTGACCGCCCCCTCCTCTCCCCATGGCTCAGGCAGCAGGAGGGAAGGGGCCCTCACCTCCAGGCAGGCCAGGTGCACATCCTTTACGATGCAGCCCATGCTGGTCACAACTTGCTGCTTTAGGAGCAGGCAGCTCAGCTCCAGCGTCGCCAGTCGGATCTTCCCATCTGCAGAGCACAGTAGGGTCAGCCTCACACCACAGGGCGGAAGCCCTTAAACACAGTCTGTTGCCTTCCTGACTTTGAGATCAACGGGTAGCTGATCAGCCTGCCCACCACTCGATGCCCTTGACACCCAGTGGGGACACCGAGGGACTCCCATATGCCAAACCCCTTCCCAAGCAATTACAATGGAATGTTCTCATCAGAACTGCCCTCACCAAACACTCTTCTGCATTTCCATCACCCCTTTCCCATGCACTCACTCACACCCTGAAGGCCTTTGCAGACAATCTGCCTTGTAGTAAAGTTTCTCAACCTTGGCCCTGTTGACACCTTGGGCCAGATAACCCTTTGTCATCAGGGGCCATCCTGAACACTGCAGGGTGTTTACCAGCATCCCTGGCCTCCGCTCACTAGACGCCAGTAGCAACCTCTCCCTCAGTCATGACAACCAAAAATGTCTCCGGAGACTGCCAAATGTCCCCTGGGGGTGCAAGGTTGCCCCCAGTTCAGACCCACTGTGCCAGGTCATTCCACCTACCATGTGTGGCCCTTGCTATGGCTGCAGGTCAGTGTTGGCTGAAACCTCAGAACCAGGCTGAGAAGTGCCAAACACTGCATACATCTTGAATTGTCAAGATCTGCACCTTCCAACCTACTCTTCACTCACACTCTTAGCGTAGTTCATATCCAACTGGCCTGGAGCAACCCCAAGAGGAGGGCTGCAGGCGCTGGCACAACTGGCGCCAGCAATGGTGGGTATGGAAGGAGAAGAAACACAGGGTCTGGAACAAACACCACGGAGGGGAGGAGAGAGGTGGAGACCCAGAGATGAAGACATGGCTGGACAGGTGGTACTGGGGGCTAGGATACATATGTGTGGCAGAGGGTGTGGCTGCGGTCAAGAGCCCAGGGCTGTCAGGGCCAGGTGTGGGCCTGGTGGCTCTAACTCTGCTGCCCCTGTGAACAGCCATCATGCCTCAGGCACCTGGCTGGGCAGCGCTGTTCATGACCCTGATGAGTCTCTCAGCTAACAGATGGTTGTAGGTGGTCTTCTCGGCCACAGTAGGACCTGGGAGCTGGATTTGTTCTAGTTTTTCAGGATCCATGCCTGGAACAGACAAAGGGACAAGCCGTAAGCTGAGCCACCTTATCGAGAGTCCTCCTCCTCCCGAAGGCCCCTGAGAGCAGTGCTTCCCCAGCTGGCCACCCATGGTCCACCTTGGGGACCTCTGCCACAACTGGGCCCTGCCTGTGCTGTAACACACCTCAGAGTTTTCAGCAAATGGAACTTAAGGAAGTATATTAAAACATAGCTTTTCTATCACTATTTCTAAGTGGGAAATCAGCACTGCTGCAATATTGACAGTCACTGAAAAAAAAAAAAAAAGGGAAAGAAAAGCCAAACAGTGTTTTCATATTTTAGCCAAAGACTTTTGACTGGTACTCGTTGCAGCCCGAGGCCTGCTTCGCCGTGTTATAAAGGGAGATTGGCAGGCACTTGCAAGGTGTGCCAGACATGCTAGCCCAGAACAGTGACGTGCTCTGCACATAATCATGGGGACAGGAGAAAGAAGTCGCTTTTACACAGTGCTTCACAGCCTTCTCATGCCAGGTCTGCCTGTGCCTGATGCCACCCTGGTGGTAGACACGTTCCACAATGAGGGAACAGAGACCAAGCACCAAGGAAACTACAGTCACACCCAACAATCACACAGCAAACTCAGAGCAGGGCCCGCCACCCCACAAACAGAAAGGCGGCGGCTGGTGCGGCGCTGGGCGAGGGGGTGGCATTAGCCGGCTAGGCCGAACCTTACTCCAGGAAGGTGTGAATACAATGAAGCCCATGGAGCAGATCTATTTCTAGAAGGCAGAGGAATCATTTTTCCTCCAGTAAAAGCTAACAGCACTTAAAAGACAAAAGATAAGACAGGAGAAAGGGTTGGTGGGGGGACAAAGAGGGAGTGCCCCAAACCTATCTGGAAACCCAGTGTCACTCTTCCTACAGCAGAAGCTGGGGGCTGGCAGAGGCCAGGAGCTCCTCCACCAAGCCAGGTGTGGGACAAGAGGTGTTCCAAGTCCTTATCCTCCCATCTCACAGCTCTGGAAAAATATACTCACAGAAACAAACATTTCACTTGATCTGAGCTTGGAGAGCTGCACCGACTGTTTGTGCTTGAAGCACGTCTTTTCCTGTTATTCTGCAAAAGGGGGGAAGGTGGCACTTCTCGGAATGCTTGAAATATGGCCCCTTGAGTACTCGATGACGCTTCATTTAGAACCTTGACAAAACAGTGGAGGATAGCACTGAAGAGCTGACTGTCTGGGGCCTAAGTAACGCTTGCACACACACACTGACGTAATAAACCATGACAATATATCTTGCCTTATTGAATTCCTTCCGGCTCTGACCCAGAGGCTAAGCCATGCCAAGGAGATGAAATAGGTGAGGGGCGGCCTGAGGACCTGAACTGGGTAGTTGTCTCTCATGCCCCCATCAAAGTGGCTTCATCAAAAATATCTGATTGCAAGGAAAACTTATTTGTAGATTCAATATCCCACTTTGATATTAAATGTCTAACCCCCAAACAACCTGGTTTATTAAATGGCAAGAAAAACGTCAGCTGAGTCTTTCTGGATTTTTTTTTTCCCCAGAGATGTCCACACTATCCTAACATCTCTGTCCTTTCATTTCTGGCCCTTTGGGAACTGTCAGTCAGTGGTACTGGGGAAAAAATGGCTCCTTGGCCTGCCTGGCGCATCACCCAACTTGATGACCTGACCGCCTGTCACTCCATCTCAGAGACCACAGCAGAAGGCAGCCCAGCTGCTGGCTCCAGTGCGAGCATGGCGGTGGCCAGCAGAACCAGGGAGAGAGACAGACTTGGGCTACTACTTGAATTTCCATGGCAAGCTCCATTATATCTTTTTTCTATTATAGCCCTTCACACCCTTGGAATTTGTCAAAAATGAGGAAATTGGTGGCAGAATCTTCTCTCAACAGGAAGAAAAACACTTGAAGTTCATCCTGACCTTCCTCCACTGGGGGCTCTGCTCTCTGAAAGGAAGGGACTCCTAAGGGACCGAAACACTTCAAGAATCTCCTAGGACCAGATTCTAGTGCAATCACTTCCTTTGGAGAGGAAGTTAAGGCTGGCTCAGGGGATGAGCTGCTCCGGCTGGATTCTGAAGGATGAGCGGGAATCTGCCTTGAGCCACACAGGGGGGGCCAGGACTTGTCAGGCCAAGGGGACTGCAGGGAGTGTGGCAGAGGGAGGGTGGGTTGGGGGCCACTGGAAGGAAGTGTGGAGGCAGACGCTGTGGGGAAGGGACAGACCAGGCCTGCACACCAGGATCCCTGGGGGGCAGCTAGCGGAGGTGACCTGGTTGTGCTCTGGCGCTGGAGTGGCCTCCACTCCCTGGGCCACTCAAAGTGATCTGTTTGTTTCTGGCTCTTTCCCCAGACTTGGCATTGTTGGCAACGCATTATGTGTGAAGTGGGTTTTACCACCAGCCGTGGGGAGACGGAGAGCAGCGTCGATTCCACATAATACATGATAAAACTTTATAAAAAACCCCTGTGAACATCTCTGTTCTTCCCCAAGACTTCCTCCTGGGCCAGGTGCCTCATTTCCTCCCTTCTCTCTCTTTCTTCCCAGCCATGGCTTCTAAAACCCCCTCTGATACTCTGAATTATCTTGCCAAGGCCTGTGCAGCAACTCAAAAGCTCCAGACATTCTTCTGGGTTTAAACGAAATGGCAGCTGACAGCTGGATGTGAGCAAGGTCAGGGTCACAATAGGACAAGGCTACGCACGTGAAAGGGAGAACAGCACACAAGGGCATGGACACACACAGGTTTCCAGTCACTGAAGGGCAGTTTTGTTGCAAACCCAATGGAGTTTCTCTGCTTGCCATTTCCCTCTGACTGAAAGAAACACTGTGCATAATATATTGTCCTATTTGCTTCAATCTTTAAATGCCGAGCAACAGACAAATTCCACAGAAACCCAGATGCACTTCAGAAGGCCTGGGAAGACACTCTAGCACATCCAGACCCCAGCAGACCACACACTTCCTTGCTCCTTTCTCACCGAGGTCAGGCCGGCCCCTCAAATGAGTCAGAAGGGGTCTCCCCTCTCCATGCTCCCACCCCAAGGCCATGTGGTTGAGGCAGGGCCGGGGTACAACTCCAAACTATTCAAAGAATCCAAAATAGAAGGGAAGGGGGTAGCTCTGCAATGTCGGTGTTACTAAGTACAGCAATTAAGCTTCCCCTCTAAGTTCTGGTTTCTGGGTTCTTCCTCTGTAGCTGTGACCCCCGTTCAGGATGGGGGTGATAAAGACTCCAACCACAGCTAAATAAAAAGACAGACAAACCTGGATAAAGAGACTACTATAGTGCCAGGTAAATAATGGTCAAAAACTTTTTTCCTTTTGATTACGCAGGGTCTCCTATAGCTTTGGGAAACTACAGACCAACTCATCTGAAAGCTAACCAGATGTTGCGCGGATCTCCAATGTACTTCCGGTTTTGATTATGTGTCAGCCAAGCTCCACAATGACGTTTTGCCCGCTGTCTGCATGGCAAAAGCATTTCTCCTATTACCTTTCAACCTTTCCCACACTGCTTATCCATGTTCCAGTAACTTCTCAGCAAAACAAAACAAAGAGCCCAAGATTCCTCTTAGATAAACAATGACAAATGGAGGGGGCAGGAGTGCAAGGGTGGTGGGAGGAGTGGGGAACCTTTAAGAAGACAAAAGCTGCAAACCTCACCCGCCTCTCTTGGGCCAGTGCTCTGCAGACTTGACAAAGGAGAGGAGGAGGCTGCACTTTCTATTACTGATATAAACCAGAATTCATTATGTGGCCCAACTGAATCACAACGAGAGCCGTCCTCCAACCAGTCAACCCTTTCCACTGTGGGATATTCATTTCGGGGCAGCATCTAATCTATTATGATTTACTGGAAGGCCTGAGCTAACATTTGGTTTTTATTAACATTGCTTTTATGTTAAAACTGTCTTATGAAAAATCTATCAGAAAGAGACCATTTCATCAGGGGCTGTGCTTGGAGGGTATGAATCTGGAAAAGAGGCTGAAGGTTAAGGGCAGCTACCACCTTGTGGTACCTACATTCTGACCAACAACCCCGACTGAATGCAGACCCTGGGCCCACAGGCCGGGACTGAAGCATACCCCAGGGGGCAGCTCCCCACTAGGCAGTTTCCCCATGGGGTCCCCCAGGCCTCGGGATGCCACACTTGGGCTCTCCAGCTTCCTCTCCAGACCTGCTCCGTGCCCCATGCTCACTGTTCTGGAAATAGCACCATGAGCCATACAGTGGCAGGAGTCAGGGACCTGGCCATCACCCAGACTCCACCCTTGGTGACCCTCCCATCCATGTCAAGCAGAACTGTCCCCCCACCAGCCCTGCTCCTTGTCTCCCCATCTTAGTAAATATTGCCCAAGCATCCCTTTCCCACAACCCCCACATCCAATCCATCAGTTCATCGGGGTTCTGTCTCTAAAATACATCGTAAAACCTTCCAGTTTTCTCCCCTCTACAACTAACATGCTCGTTCAGCCCACACTATCCCTTGCCTGGACTGCTGCAGTGGTCTCCTAACAAGCCTCCCAGCTTCGCCTCTTACAGCTCACTCCCCTACCCCCATTAGCCTACTTTCCATCCAGTAGGCAGAGTGTTCTTTCAAAAATTTCCACCTGGTCACGTCACTCTTCTACTTAGAAATCTAGGGGCTTCCCACTGCTCTTGAAATAAAATCTAAATTTATTTTATTGGCCTTCAAGACCCTTTGTGATCTGGTTCCTGCCCACCTGGTCAGCCTTACCTTGGCCTGCTTTCTGCCCCTCTAACCTGTAAGCTCATTCCCACCTCAGGGCCTTTGCACATGCTGTTCCCTTTGCTGGAGCACTCTTGCCCTGGATCTTGGCAGAGCTGACTCCTGTGCACTCTTTCAGCCTCCGTTTGTTGTTCGTTCCTCAGAGAAGCCTCCCTGGACTGCCCTCGGTAGAATCCTGCACCACCATCTCCAGTCTACTCTATCACTCCAGTCACAACTTATCTCCGCGTTCACTTGTTCACTTG